TTTTAATTTCCAATGCATGTTTCATCTTGTTTTCTTTTTTAAATTGCAACATGCCCTATTTTATTTCTGCTTGAGTGAAAACCTGATAGGCCCCAAGGCGAAGATTGGCTGAGGGAAACTTTGGTCCAAGATGAGGTTGCTGGATCTAAGCTATGGAAGGTGTATTTCCGTAAGAAAAAGAAGAATATGCAGGTTGCTGAGTTGGCACAAAGCTAGTCGGGCAACAACTGTGCATGTGGTTACATAGCGGTGAGAGAGAATTAGGGAGGATCTTTTTGGCATTTGATATCTTTCTATTAGAATGGAGAGCCAATGAGTTCTCTACAAGAGCCTTAGCTTTGGGCACTGGAAGAATACTTTTTCCTCTGTATTTTCCCTTTTCCAATCGAATAATACAGATACTTGTACTCTCTTTCAATGTTTTGCCTGCCATTTTGCTGTTTTCTGATTACAAGTCTGTATCATTTGGTCTGACCTGCCAAATACCTCGTTCCCAAAAGGATGAAAAGGGTGAGTTGAGGGCTTTAGCTTACTTTCCATTTTGGGTTGATTACTAGGCTGTAATATCTGATGTTCAGAAGGATGACAAGTTAAAGAAAATTATTGATCAATTGCAACAAGTGGTGTGTAACCAACTAGGTTTTTCTTATAAACATAGTGTGCTGTATTTTGAGGATACGTTGGTCATAGCTGAAAATTCTCCCTGGATAAATAAGCTCTTAATGGAGTATCATTTGACCCCTCAAGGTGGACATTCGGGTTTTAATAAAACCTATAAGCACTTAGCTGCTAATGTGTACTGGCATGGAAATACTTAGCTTCTTCTCCTGGAGGGTTATTACAACATCTTCCAATTGCGGAGAGATGGGGAGGACTTATCTATGGATTTCATAACAGGATTACCCCGGTCCCATGGATATGAGGCTATTATGGTAGTAATGGATCGCCTTTCAAAGTATGTACACTTTGTACCATTGAAACACCCTTATACTACCAAGTTACGTGTCGAGATTTTTGTGAAAGAGGTGGTGCGTCTTCATGGGATACCCACTTCGGTTGTTAGTAATCGTGACCCGGTGTTTATGAGCTACTTGTCAAGATTTTTAAGGAGTTTTGCAGTAAAAGAGTTGGTTTTTCTGAAGTTTTGTCCCCACAGACAGCATTCTGCCATGACCCGAATTAGTCCCAAGCTTGCTGCTCGATATTTTGGACCATTTGAGGTCCTTGAATGCATTGGTGCAGTGGCCTATCGTCTGAAATTACCTGCTTCAGCATGTATTCATCCGATATTTCATGTGTTGCTGTTATGATCTTTTGCTAATCTAGGAGAATCACTCGAAGACTAGAAGAGAATAGGGATCTTCAAACAAGAATGAATCCCGAATATTATTGATGATAAGAAAAGAATACAGAAAAGAGTATAGAAAAAACGTAATGAATCTCAGTAATGATTACAATGCAGAAGTTCTCCTTATAACTACCTAACAAAACAGTTGCTACCCTTCCCGAATCAGAGTAACTAACAAAACGGCTCAGCCACTTAGCTGCCACCTATCCTAACTGACTTAGCTAGTTACAATTACTGATATACCCTTTTACAATTTCTTATAACAATGCCCCCTACCAAGCAGCATCCTTGTCCTCAAGGATGGAACAAAGGGTACTTCCTTTTGAGATCATAGTAATACTCCCAGGTAGGGTCTTCTTCAGGCCGATTCTTCCATTTAACCAACACCTTAGTAGCAGCCACACCTTTCCTCTTCACCGTAGTCCTGTCTAGAATGGCCTCAGGTTCTAAGTTTCCCAAAGAGTCATCAGGTTGGAAGGGAAGTGAAGAGGAAACTGCTGCATTTCCTATGTGCTTCTTCAATTGTGAAACATGAAACACATTATGGATTCTAGCATCAGTTGGTAACTCTAGTTTGTAGGCCACCTCACCAATCCTGTCCAAGACCTTGTAGGGACCATAAAACTTGGGACTCAGCTTGGCATTAATGAAGATGGGATCCCTATCACTGGTTATGGAACTAGGGAAGCCATGCAATTTAAACACATTGTCCACAAAGAACTGTGCTACCTCCTTAGCAGTGTAAGGATGAGATAAGGCCATAAAGTGAGCAGCCTTACTTAGCCTATCCACAACTACAAATATGACCTGCTTCCCATAAGACATAGGTAATCCTTCAATAAAATCCATGTTGATGTGTTGCCAAATCTGCTCAGGTATGGGTAAAGGTTGCAACAAACCTGGAGATGCTACAGTTTCATACTTACACCTTTGACAAGACAAGCATTTAGCTACAAAGTTCTTTACATCCAGGGACAACCCCTTCCAATGCACAATGGACTTGACCCTTTGCAATGTTGCATTAACACCTGAATGCCCTCCAACAGCAGAAGAATGCAGCCATTGCAGAATTTTGTTTCTTAATTCTAAGTCATTGCCCCCCACCAGCCTTCCTTTCCTCCTCAATTCCCCCTGCTGCCAGGAATAATGCTTATGAGAGTTGGAATTCAACTGTAGCTCTTGAATCAGTTTTTGAACATTGATATCCTTGGACCAAGAGGACTTGATTCTATCCATCATATCAGATTGTAACTGATAGGTGTGCAACACCAAGCATTCAGCTTCCACCCGTGAAAGAGCATCAGCCACCTTATTATCCAGACCCTACTTATGTTCTATAGAAAAATCAAACTCCATCAGTTTAATCAACCACTTTTGCTGAAACACTGTGTTGAGTCTCTGATCAAGCAGGTACTTGAGGCTATAGTGATCAGTTTTCATCACAAAGTGCCTGTTTAACAGGTAATGTCTCCACCTTTGTACATCAAACACCACAGCAAGTAGCTCCTTTTCATAAGTGGACAGTGACTGCTGTTGCTGATTCAGAGTTCTGCTGATATAGGCAATTGGATGTTGTTGCTGCATTAATACAGCACCAATGCCTTGCCCTGAAGCATCAACCTCCACTACAAATTCCTTATCAAAATCAGGCATTGCTAAGACAGGTGAATTACACAATAACTCCTTCAATCGATGAAATGCAGCTCTGGCCTAGTCAGTCCACACAAAATTATCCTTTTTCAACATGTCAGTGAGGGGCCTTGCCACTGTTCCAAATATATGGACAAACCTTCTATAGTAACCAGCTAAGCCCAAGAATCCTCTTAGCTGTTTCAAGGTTTGAGGCAGTGGCCACTTCTTGACAGCCTCAATCTTACTTGGATCAGTAGATACTCCCTCTTTAGTGATGAAATGACCCAAATATTCCACTCTAGGTACAGCAAAGAAGCATTTGGTTTTCCTAGCATACAGACGATTGTTCCTGAGAGTAGTCAGCACCTGTTTCAGATGAATAACATGATCCCCTAGGCTGTTGCTATATACCAGTATATCATTAAAAAAAACCAGTAGAAACTTCCTTAAGAATGGCTGAAAAATGGAGTTCATGAGTCCCTGAAACAAGGCAGGGGCATTAGTGAGCCCAAATGGCATCACTACATACTCAAAATGACCACCATGAGTCCTGAAGGCAGTCTTGTGGATATTAGCAGAGTCCATTCTGACTTTATTATAGCCAGACCTCAAATCAATCTTGGAAAACAAGCAGGAACCATGAAGCTCATCCAGTAAATCATCCACCAATGGAATAGGGAACTTATTCTTGACAGTATTCCTGTTCAAGTCCCTATAGTCTACACATAACCTCCATGAGCCATCTTTTTTCCCTACCAAAACCACAGGGCTAGCATAAGGGCTGCTACTGTTCTAAATTAACCCTGTTTTAAGATATTCTTGTACCAACCCATCAATGACATCCTTTTGATGTTTGGCATAACGGTAAGGTCTCTTGTTTACAGGATTAGCACCTTGAACTAAAGGAATTTTATGATCATAACTAGGTTTAAATGGAGGTAACTGGGAAGGTTCTTCAAAAACATCACTAAACTCTTGTAGAAGTTGATCAACAGCAGGTGGTAATTCTGACTGCTCAGCATTAGCAGAGAGGGAATGCATCAAGTCCCCTTCCTTTTCACAAAGTTGCAGCATAGAGATGTGGACTCCTCCCTCTAAAACCTTCCCTAATTGCTGCTGTTTGACAGGCTTAATGGTGGTAGAAGTCAATCCCCGTAATACATGTTTTCTCCCCTATGCTTAAACTCCATCTGCAACTTATCAAAGTTCCAAATAATGTCACCAAGGGTGACTAACCACTCCACCCCCAAGACTAAATCATAACCCTCCAGAGGAATTAGGAAAACATCAGAAGTAAAGGTAGTGTTTCCAATGTGCCATGTGAAATTTCTGATTATAGAAGAAATGGTGAATTGAGAACCATCAACCACTGTGACCAATAAAGGGTCAACTTGGTCCAATCTGCAATCAAACTTTTGAGCAATGCCCTCATCTAAGAAGTTGTGAGTGCTGCCACTATCAATGAGAATGTGCAGGGTATGTTTCCTGTGAAAACCTGTGACTCTCATTGTCTTGAAGTTTGCCACACCAGTCAATGAATTTACTGAAATCTCAGGTTGATCAGGGGTCAAGGTTTCTTCAGAAGCATCCTCAAACGTATCTTCATCATCAACAATCTCCATTACTTGAACTTGGAGTTTCTTGTGAGTCAATCTGTGCTCATAAGAGTAAGGCTCATCACAAAAGTAGCAAAGGCCCTTAGTTCTTCTGTCACTCATGTAAGCAGGTGTGAGATTCCTCTGAGATCTGGTCCGAGGCTTAGCTAATTCAGTTGAAGCAGTACTGTTAGAACTAGGGACAGATTTCTGCACCACCACAGATAAAAGGCTTTGCTCACACTAGTAGGCTGGAACATTTTGACTACCATACTAGTATTCCTTTTAACATGTACTCATCAGACAGAGACAAACGATTAATCAAAACATTGAATTGATCGTAATATTCAGCGACTGATTTCGTCTGTCTTAAATCCATTAAATCTGCCATGGGATCATCACAAATATCCCCAAAACGTTCTAAGATCAACTTCTTATATGCAGGCCAAGATAGAGTCGAACAATTCAAAGATTTATCTAAGGCCGTGTGCCATTGAAGAGCACGACCCTCTAAATGGACAACAGCAAGTCTTACACGAACATCATCCGGAGAATTGTCAATCAAGAAAAAATTTCACACTGGTAAATCCATTGTTGTACGTTATCGCCATTAAATCTTAGAAAATCAATACGTGCCAAACGTACGTTATCGCCATTAAATCTTAGAAAATCAATACGTGCCAAACGTGTTCCACAAGAATATGAAGACGAAGGATTATTACCCGAACCTGATGTGCAAGGAAAAGCAGAATTTTCCAGCGAACGTTGCTGCAGAAATTCTTGAAACATGTCTTTCAGAGAATCACCAAGGCTTCGCTGAATGGACCCAGCCAATTCCACCGAACGTGCTTCCAAACGTCCAGCAACTTTGTCTTCAAGATCCAACTTTGTAAATATTTTTAATTGTTTATTTACTTTATTTCCTCTTTTAAGCTTAGTCTAATTTGGGTAGTTATTATAATATATTGTTTCCCTACTTTAGGGTGCTGATTTCCTTATTTTTTTGGTTTGTAATTTCCTCTATATAAAGTAGGAATCTTTGTACAATTAAAGTGTCAATAATATTCAGTTATTGGACTCTATCTGTAACCTAGGTACTGACTATTGTAATTTGTAATATTTGACAGCATTATAATCACTTTCAATCCTGACTTTTTATCTTGCATCCCTTTTTCCTCAATTCTGTGTCCATGTCGTGTCTGGCCGCGTTGGAGTTCATTCTTTATAGTTTGTAACTTATTAATTGTTAAAATTCCATTGTTTCTGATATTTGAACAGATGCCTGTTCTAGAACACTTAAACTTCTCCATAGAAGCAAATCAAGTCGTTGCCATTGTAAGATCTCTCTTTGTTCCTAGTGATTTAATGTTGGTTATGCTCTAATATTTATCTGACATCTCTACCTTGCGCAGGTTGGTCTGAGTGGTAGTGGAAAGAGCACATTGCTCAACCTTTTACTTTGTCTGTATGAACCTAATAGTGGTCAGGTAAACAATTAATATCTTTCAATCCTGGTAAATTGAAAATTAAATTTATATTTAGAAAAGGAAGAGCTGCATGCTCATCATCGACTACTTGATTAGTTGTTTGTTTGAATCATTTTTATGTTGCTTCCCCGACTCAACATGATGTGCTTTCTATGCTAATTGGTGCTCAATGTGTAAATATTGCAGTTATGATATTATTTTCGTTGTCTGAGTCAGATGGTTGAGCTTGAATATGACATAGTTGAGCTCAATGTGCTTTCTATGCTAATTGTTTGTTTGAATCATTTTTATGTTGCTTCCCCAACTCAACATGATGTGCTTTCTATGCTAATTGGTGCTCAATGTGTAAATTTTGCAGTTATGATATTATTTTCGTAGTCAGAGTCAGAAGGTTGAGCTTGAATATGACATAATTCACTTGTTATTTATTTTGTTCTTGGCATATTTGATCTATACATATGTGTGATTTAGAAACATAGGACATTGTTTTTCTTTGAATTATACAGAGAAGTGAAAATACACGTTGAAGACCAAATAAATCCTCATAAGGAGCAGAAAAATAATTATAACAAAACAGCAACGAGGAGGTTATATAATACGACTAAGATACCAATTTTGTTGTGGCTAAAACTAGAAATTTTCATGAAAGAACTGCAAGCAAACAGGTGAAGAGATTATCTCAGAGCAAGTATAATTTTTGAAAATATGGGCTTTCTTCTCCATTTCCCTCCATTTCTTTTTTATTTATCCACGTTTGAACAAAAAAGCATTAGTTACTATCTTTTCAATTATGCCCTTATCTTTACTTTGTTTTAAAAACTTTACACACTATCATAAATTTGATGCAAACTGGTTGACCCAATAGGAAAATAAAGCAATTCAATAAAAGGAAAATTGAGAAGGTGGTACTGATATTGTTTGATATGAAAAGGAAAATCAGTAGAATGAGTATTCTACAGCCACAGTAAGCAAATGCCCTCCATCCATAACCAACTTATTGATTCTAAAAGATAACCCCAAATCCCACTATAATGGGCTCCTCCTTCCTTCACAAACAAACTATTCTCTCTCTCTGCCACGTTGATTCCTTGCCCATGTTTTTCTTATTTCTTCTAGTGTAAAATCTCCATAGTCTGGGCTTGGCCAATTACTGGACGAACTGGCCATTTGATCCCCTATTCTCAACTGCAATCCTAACACTGCGTGTCCCTTGAGATGTGTCCTTAAGGCTGAACTTGGGAAATTCACTTTTAATATTTAAACTCTTCCTCTCATGTATCTTCTTCAACAGGTGTCTCCTTCCATTGAATCAGCATTTGACTAACAGATTCCCCATCTTTGGTTACTGTTCTGGTTGCAAGGACTGCTGTGGGCTCTTGCTGATTTGCTGCATCACTCTCCATACCTTGAGGCAGCTCTTCCTCCACTCTATAGTTGCCAACAAATTTCTTCAACAATGAGATATGAAAGACTGGATGAAGTCTACCGATCCTAGTAAGTGGAGTTTGTAAACCGTAACTCCTACCTTTTCCATTACTTGAAATGGACCATAGTATCTAGGGGGTAGTTTGGGACTGATTCTAGCCCCTACTGTCTGCTGTTCATGAGGTCTCAGTTTAAGAAATACCCACTCAAATTACGTTCTATCCATTTATGGTGCTTTAGTTGTCTGAGAATTTCATCTCTGTCTGTCAGCTCATGTTGCACCGCTTCTACAATTTACCCTAGTAAAAAATGCGTGATTTTAGGTAGTGGTTTGCTGTATACAATTGTGAATGGCATGGTCTGTGTGGTGCATGGAAGGTCATATTGCACCAATATTCAACCCATGGTAGCCAATGCTCCCAAGTCTTTGGTTGATCAATGTTGAGAAAGGAGAATGAGAAACATAAGATGAATCTGTGTGTCTTGACTACACAAAGGAACATAAATGTATAATAGGGATCATTGATATAGAATATAATAATATCTACCAAACTTGTTGCATATATAACTAATTCGAGGACCTCTTAAAGACTTGGTATAGACATATGCTAGTTGATCATGAGAATTTACAAAACTTGTAGTGTTGTTTCCGAATAAAATCTTCTCTCTAATGTTCTCTTTCTCCCCTAGGTTTATTGTTCTTATCTTTATTGCTGCATGTTGGAACACTCTCCATCTCCTTCCATGCTGATGTGACAGTAATAAAACACCGTTACAGTCTTGTTTTGAGGCAAATATCATTGCAACCAGTAACATGAAAACTCACAATGCAAAAGGAATGGGATTTCAATTTGCATAACACGACAAATGCTTCTACTTTCTTCTTCATTTCTTTTAATTTCAAATTCTTACATCTGTTCTTCTTTGAAAAAAGTCAGATTTAAAATTAGTTTGAAGACAAACTCGATTTGAAACCAGTTTTAAACCAAAACTAAATTTTAAAACCAATTTTAAACTGGTTCTAAAAAAAATTAGTTTAAAATTCAATCTATATAATTGTTTTTAAAATAGATTTAGATTGACTTTATGTCAAGCCAATCCATGCGCGTGCCTACTTGAAACGATGAAGCCTCGAGTTGATTTGAAATCGTCCCTCTCATATATCCAATAGGTCGGATCAGTTTGATGCAAACTAGTTGAACCAACAGGAAAATAATGCAACTCAATAAGGGAAAATTGAGGTGGTACTGGTATTATTTGATATGAAAAGGAAAATTAGAAGAATGAGTATTCTACCCCAATAGGGCTAGGCTATTAGAGAGAGAGAGTTAATGCCCCTCATCCATAACCAACTTCTTGATTAAAAGATACCCCTTCTCTCACATCCCAATCCCACTAAGATGTATTCCTCCTTACATGGTTAACAAACTTTCTTCTCTCTCTCTACCACGTCAATTCCCTTGCCTGTATTTATTTCTTCTAGCGTAAATTTTCCATACTGTGGGCTTGGCCAATTGCTGGACTCACTGGCCATTTGAGCCCCTATAAGTGAATAGATTAAAAAGAAAAAAAAGGAGTATGTTAGAAATAATCTTTACATTGTCGTAACCCTTGGTCTCTTGATCTCTGACATTCATGGCATAAATTTAACAACCAGTTGTGACTAATTTGAAATGTATTATCACTATCAATCGTGTTTATATACACAGACATTCTTGGTATTAATTTCTTATGTGATCTACATCTACATTTATATACAGATATATATTGATGGGTTCCCTCTTCAAGAGTTGGATGTCAGGTGGGTGAGACAGAACATCGGCTATGTTGCACAGGTTAGGCAACTAAAACTGTACTTCATACATAGTTAATTCATTTTCTGAAATCTTAAATCAAACAGGAATCCCATCTCTTTCACATGGACATCAAGTCAAACATAAAGTATGGTTGTCCTAGGAACATAAAACAAGAAGATATTGAATGGGCAGCTAAAAAGGCCTATGCCCATGACTTTATTTCTTCACTTCCTAATGGATATGAAACCCTAGTTGACGACAATGTACTTAGTGGTGGACAAAAACAGCGGATTGCCATTGCCAGGGCCATTCTTAGGGACCCAGTTATTATGATACTTGATGAAGCAACCAGTGCTCTAGATTATGAAAGTGAGCATTATATCAAGGTATATTTCTCAAATTCTAGCTTTTGAAATTTATAATTTCCATTCCTTAAGTAAATCCATATTTATCTAAAAGAAAAATGAACAAGTAACTGTTTTCTTGTTATGTTCTTATTTCAGGAAGTGTTGTATGCGATAAAAGATGAATCTAAAACAAGAACCATCATCATAATTGCACATAGGTGAACTTTTTACCACTTTTCTTTTTCTTTTTGTTTGGAAAATGTTAACCACAACCGTTAAGACTGAGTTTAATTATTGAAAAGAAGCATTTATTACATTTTTATAACTTTGATATAATAAATGTGTTCTTTTCTAATAAAACTTATTACTTTTGAATGTTTCAACTCAGTCTTAAAGGTTGAAGTTAACAAAATCTTGTTTTTAATAGGATTAGTTAAATTATAATCACCAAAATTTCACAGGCTTTCTACTATTAAAGCTGCTGATAGGATCTTTGTTATGGATGATGGTCGCATCATTGAGGTGACTTCCAGTTGAACTGCTATAACTTATACTTTTGTTCCAAAATTTTCATTTTATGGTTATGACGGGAAACAATTGTGGAATTATATGGTTGCGTAAGCAGGATTCCCATCCAAAAAGATTTTGGCACTATTCATTCAATTCTTTAAGGCAGCTTAACGCCATTGCATAATCAATATATTTTTTTAATTTGTCCCTTTTCCAGATGGGAAACCATGAAGAGCTTCTGCTCAAGGATGGGCTCTATGCAAAGTTATATAAAATTCAATCAGGTATTTTGACTTGATTTAAGATAGACTTCGACTTTAATTCGGTAGTGATGAAGAGGACTCTGCAATTTAAATCTACAAAGCCTGAGGTGGAACACTTGAAGACACTTACAAATGTTGCAAAAAAAAAAAAAAAATGCCTAACTTCTGCAAGAATATATGGAAAGGTCCCTTTTTTTCGGTCCAAGGGAGACAAGGTTTGACGCTGGTCCTCCCATCTCATGTCCCTTGTAGGAGCTAAGTATGATTTGATTTTTAAATCATCTTATATTATCGTCATAATTATATATATTAAATTTTATATGATTTAGATATTTTTAAAGTATATTTTATCAAATTTGATATTTATTTGTATTTTAAAAATATATCCTCCTTATATAACCTGCTTATTGATTTTGAAATTAGTTAAAATTTGTGTATAACAGAGCATCTTTAAATGATTAGATAACAAAATTCAATGTTGATAATTTGAATGGAGATCTTCTATATATATATATATATATATATATATATATACTTTTTACTTAAAATGAGTATGAGTTACATAACATTTGATTTTCTTAAAATGTAGGTTAAAATATGAATTTGGTTCTATGAGCATTTTTTTTCTCCTGTATGTGCATAAATTTTCAAAATAGTTTCTAACATTAGGTTCAATATAATGATGTTATGATGTTGTAACAAAACTATAATTTGATCCTTATATATGTTATAAATTTTTAATTTGGTCCTTACTCATTGTAAAAAAAATATTAGAGATTATTTTTAAAATATTGTGGAAATTAAATTAAAACTAAATTATGTAAGGGGACTAAATTATAAATGCACGACATATAGGGGTGAATATGTACTTTGACAAAAGTATAACTCTATCACGTTAGCAAGGAGAAGACGACATCATGATATACTTTAACGTTGGAGACTATTTTGAAAACTTTTACACATATAATGACTAAATTAAAAAAAAAGCTACAGAGACTAAATTAAAATTGTGTAATATATATATATAGTGATTAAATTCATATTTTTAATCTATGTGAAACAAATGATAACATGCCTAAAACTGGCTTAATCAAAGGAATAAAAATTCATGTCGAGTGGATCAAGTTAATTGGGAGTTATTTAGGTTAAAATTTTCACTTAAAAAATTGAAAAAGTGAGTGTGCAAGTATTGAAATTTATTTATTTTTTTTGTTAATTACGGGGCATTAAGTCAAAATACACATAAATTTAACAGTTCACTCTAGGTCAAGAAAAGTTTAAGCATCAAGTCTCGATAGAGGCTCTATGTAGGAGTGAACATGGATTAAATTTATATAAATCTAATCCAAATCTATTTTAAATTTAATTATGTAGATTAGATTTTAAATCAATCTATATTACTTTTTTAAAATTTGGATTAAAACTGGTTTCAAAATTTAAAACTAGTTTTAATAATATATTTTATAATAATATTTTTAATATATTAATTTATAATTATTATATAATGTTAATTTATATTAAATAAAATAAAAATATAGAATATTATGAATATATATATATATATAAGTAAAATGATAGATAATGCAAGAAATAAAATTTAACAAAGTGAAAAGCGTATATTTAGGCGCATAAGACTTGTATACGGACCCTGGAGTGAACTGCTGCTGAAAATTAAAAGCGTATATTTGGGCGTAGGCTTGCATAAGAGTGCTGGACAGGAAACCGGTTATATTAGATGAAATCTAAAATTTATCTCAACCAAAAAAAATTGGATTGGATGTTTGAATTTTAAAAAAATCTAGATTTTTAAATTTAATTTATTTTAGTTATGAATTAGATCATTAAATCTAGATTTTTTGCACACTCCTAATTTTGTCAAACCAGCAAAAAGATGTCTCATCCTCAGTCTTGAGTCTAGTCAATTAATCCGCATGTTAATTAGCTTCGTTTAAAATATGATTAACCTTTACAAATTTAACATTCCTAAACAAGAACCTAATTTCTTTAATAATAGGAAAAAGCGGTGATTACTATTTTGCAAGTTAAGAATTAAGGATATAGCTTTTTTACAATTACTTTTTATCTAAATAATTTAGATATTTCTAGAAATTACAAGTTTAAGGCCCAAACAATAGCCCACAGTTCAGCTGTAATTGGAGAACAAAACTGAATGGATTTATGAAATTCATGAATAGTTCTTTTTTGCAAGGCATCAGTCCCCTAACAAGAGGCCAAAAAATATTCCTGAAAAAATTTGCAAGGATATAGCTTTCTTACAATTGCTTTTTATCGATACTTAAACCTGATCAACATATACGCTCTAAAAGGCTTAAATATGAAAATATCTTATATTTACTCAATTTTTTTAGTTCCTATAATTTTTTTACGTTTTGTATTATTAAATTTTTCAAAATTTTAAATTTGGTCTCTCCCTTTAAATTTAGATTAGGGATGGCAATGGGTAAAATACCCGATGGGCACCCGCAAAATTTACCCACAATGGGTAGGGTATTTACCCGCTATACGGGTACGGGTATGGGTGTGGGTAAAAACCCGCAAATTTTAATGGGGATGGGTGCGGGTATGGGTATCTAAGTACCCACCCCGCCCCATACCCGCATATATATATATATATATATATATATATATATATATATATGCTTAAACTTTATTCTACAATTATGAATTAAATTTTTGTATTATTATATTACTTACGTGAAGTTATATAAGATTAATATAAAAATATATTTAATAATAAAGTAAACCAAAAAATTTATTTTGGTTTATATTTTTAATAGAAAATTTATTTACTATTTTATATCATTTAATTAGGTTAACACAATTTAATTATTACATAGTTAATATGAGATTGACTTTTTTTTAAAATATTATTTATATATGACACACATAAAATATTTTTTACACAAATATTTTTGTTAATAAAATCATATTGATGTTTAAATCATAAAGTGAATGATAAATAATAAATATATTATAAATATTTTATAAATTTTACAATCACCTACTATTACCGTAAACTTATTATTTATTAATAATATTTAAATTTTATTTTCATATTTTAATTTAAAATAATACTTTTCTATGCAACATATGTATTACAAACACAACTATAATCTATTGAATCTAAATAATATTATTCTTACTATTTATTCACATTCAAAGAAGTTTTTGAAAAGATATATATATAAAAAATTATTGTTAATTTTTTTAAGATAAAAAAGTAAAATTTTTTAATATACACGTATATTTCTTTATTATAAAATTTTATTGTAACTATTTATCTTTTATTCAAATTTTTTTTTAAATTTATATACATTATAAATATTTAATTCACTAAAATAATTTTTCAAAAATTTATATTTTTGATAAAATACTTTCGTATAGTATATGAGTTAAAAAATACTAGTATTAATATATATATATATATATATTAATTATATTATATTATTTTAATTAAATCTATTATTTTTCTTACAATTTCAAATTCAAAAGTTAAAAAAAATATTTTATGTATCAACTTTCTATTGTTAGTATTGAACTTCTCTACTCTAACTCTATTCTCATTCTCAATGTCTGTCTCACTAAAACTTAATAACTATGAAATGTTATTCATTAGAGTTAGTTGTTAATGCCGTCACAAGAGGTTACTAAGTGATCCCACACGAAAGGACAACCATTGTACAGATCTATTTCGTTGTTGTTCTGACATTACCAATCAATCAAATCTCACACAAGATAGGATTATCACTGACAAATAACTTGTGTGTTTAGTTTTACTTATTGTTTCTAAGAATTTTAGTTTAAAAAATTATTATATTAAGATACATTTAACATTTATGATCTTTGAATATTTGTTTTTTTATCTATATTTGTACCTTATTCGACAACTACATATTAAATTTTTGTATTATTATGCTACTTATGTGAAATTATATAAACATATTTTTCTTTATAAATATTTTTTTTTCAAACAAACGCGGGTAATGGGTACAAGACGGGTATGCGGGTACCCAAAGGGTACGGGTACGGGGATTAATGTTCATACCCACGCGGGTATGGGTCCGGGTACGGGTATTTTTTTAAAACGCGGGTATGGGGATGGGTACTGTAGTACCCTACCCATACCCTACCCATTGCCATCCCTAATTTAGATTTAACTACAAAAGCAGTCATTATATATATATATATATTGTACTTTTACTCTTAGTCTTTTCATTTACTCAATTTTCTTTTTAGTTTTTATTTGTACTTTTCCTATCACCTACAAGCAATTTCTATTTGTGAAAAACAAAATGCTAAAGGTATTAGAGTGTTCATTCCACAAGTTGCTTGCGGAAATAAAACATTGTTTCTCAAACAGAATTTGATTGCAAGTAGTGACAATAAAACTTTGTTTCCTACAAATAAAATTTGCTCATAGGTAGGGGGCAAAACTGCATAGTATGAGATATTGTGTCATTGTTAATGCATAGTTTATGTACGTTAACGTATTTCATTGTCACCTTTTATTTGACTACCAAATAACATTGCAAATAACTTATAAAAAGCACGATTTTATTGATAATTATAAATCGTTTCAATTCTTTTCTTATTCATATATGGGAAAGTGATATCATATAAAAAACACCTTTTAAGTGTTATTTTATATATATATATATTTGAAGTATGTATTTTTAAGATATGCTAATGTAGAAAAAAAAAAAACAAAAATAAGATATTGATGGTTTAGATAATGAAGCTGAAAAAAGGGTATGGTATGCACATAGATATCAATGAATTTGAGCAAAAATAAAATCACCATATCAATGATCCGTAAAATGTACCATCTTAATTTTCTCCTACTACTATTCATTTCTTGCCAAGAATCAAAACTATCACATAAACAAAGATTTAATTTTCTTAGAACAAATCCATCATAATTAAATTATTTAGTGATAGTTAAATAAGAATGTACTCGATCTTTGAAATTATTTTTTTTTTCTACATGTAACTTGCAGAAAAAAAACCTGAGTACCTTTAATATTTTTTTCACTAAATGTATGGTGAAATAGAATACTTTGTTTCCCCAAATAAAAATTTCTTGCAAGTGGTGGTAAAAATGTGAATAAGGAATAAAATTAAAAATAAGGTAAATATAACATTATT